TTCGGCTCTCAGTGCAGCAGTATTTCATTGCAATCAATAAACATTTCATCATAATTTCTGGCATAAAGCAGGGAGGCTGTAAGGAAAACAGGTTCCTTCCTCATCCCCTTCCTCTGCTTTCTGTAGGCTGTGAAGCATCATTATAGGTGAATGCATCAGGGCTTTGGTGTTTTAAGAGGGAGATGTGGAGTAGGGGCTGCAGAAGGGCAGCAGGCAGCGGTTCGGTCACGTCCCCATAGGATACTGATGCTGGTGGCCAGGAGTCAGGGAAAGCCCAGCAGCAAAATCTGGAGGAGGATCTGGAAAAGTTCCTTCTTGAGGTCTCGTGCTGGAAGTCACAGCTGGATCCCATTTGTTCCCCTCAGCCTGCTCAGGTTAAAGCTTTGTGCTTAGAGTGTGGCAGATAACCATTGGGTTAGGGTTCCTTGTTTTGTGACTGTGGCTGTTCCTCTGCACCCAGCCAGGGATGCATCTGCCACCTTTTCACAGAATCATAGTATCATAGAATCATAGAATTGCTTGGGTTGGAAGGGACCCCAAGTTCAAGTTTCAGCTCTCCTGCCACAGGCAGGGCCACAACCTCCAGATCTGGCACTAGCTCAGGTTGCCCAGGACCCCATCCAACTTCATCCTGACCTCCTCCAGGAACAGAGTATCCACAGCCTCTCTGGGCAGCCTGTTCCAGTACCTCACCACTCTCTCTGTAAAGAACTTCTCCCTGACATCCAAAACTTCCCCCTGAACTTCCCCATCCAACCTTTCCACTTTGGTTCTCATTAAACTCTTTTTCTCCTTCCATTGGGAGCCCCTCAGCTGAGGGCTGTGTAGGCTGCAGGACTGTCCCTGCTCTGATGGGCTTCTGTCTCTTCTACGGCTTGGTATTTCAGACCCAGGTTCACCTCTCTGCTCTGTTCTCATTTCCCTCTTCTCCTCCTTTTGATATTCATCAAACACCAGGAAAAACACCAGAGCTAAGCTAAAGCAGTCCACAAAATGCCAGCATGTCATCCTGCAGAGCATGAATCCCACCGCAGACAGGATGCTCAGCATCCCAGCAGGCAGCCTGGGTCCCAGGGCTGGAGGACATCATATACATCGTATATGTACAATGCATCGTAACTCTGGAGCATGCACTGCTCAGAGTAGTAGCAAAGCACCAGCACCATTACCAGGTGCTTCTGTTCACCGTGCTTGTAGCCTTCCTGGGCCTTCCTGCAGTACGGCTCTGCTGCCAGTCCTGCTCTGCTGCCTGCCACAGGCACGGGGGAGAGGTGGGCGCTGCCGGGGACTCCATCAGATGTCTGCCACTGCCATCTGCTGGATTGCCTTCCTTCTACAAACACATCTGTACGGCTCCCAGCTGCCGGAACAACGCCCCGAGCCCCAGTGCCTTTTGCATTGCAAAGCTGAGGAAAGATGGTTCTGTGCAAAGTAAGCTGAATGAGGGAGGGGGAGCAGGCAGGGGGAGGAGGAGGAAGGCTGGGGCAGAGGAGAGGCATCTCGATGGGAAGTTGGAGGAGGCTGCCTGGGAGACAAGCCCAGCCTGGAGAGACGCTAGGAGAGATGCTCCAGCATTCTGTTCATCCTCGTGGCCATCCTCTGGGCCCTCTCCAACAGTTCCACAGCCTGGACACAGTACTCAGATGGGGCCTCATGAGGGCAGAGTGGGACAATCTCGTCCCTCTCCCTGCTGCCTCCTCTCTGTTGGTGCAGCCCAGGATACCATTGGCCTTCCAGACAGCAAGAGCATCCTGCTGGCTCCTGTGCAGCTTTTCATCCACCAGAGCCCACAAGTCCTCCTCAGGACAGCTCTCAATTCTCTCACCACCCAGCCTGTTTTTGGGCTTGGGACCTTGCATTTGGCCTTATTGAGCTTCATGAGGTTTGCCCAGGCCCATCTTTCAGGCCTGCCAGGGTCGCTGTGAATGGCATCCCTTTATCCCTCCAGCACACTGACTGCACCAATCTGCTTGGTCTTGTCTACAAATTTGCTGAGGGCGAACTCCATCCCACTGTCTGTGTCACCAACAAAGAAGTTAAGTAGTGCCAGTGTCCATACTGACCGTTGAGAAACACTGATTGCAACTTGAGTGTGACCACTCAGTGGGTTATGCTCTAAAAGACAGGCCAGAATGCAAAAGCAGAAAGGAAAGTGATGCCTGAAGCATTCTTCACTCCATCATTTCTGAGCTTCTGGGCATGCGTCTTTGCTGCTTAGGTGTTGTTCATGTCTGTTTATACATAGGTAATTCACACATACACGCCAAGACTTGTGCACACAGGAATGCTCCTTCCATCTACTTTTCCTTCTCCTGTTTCTCTGCTCACTCACTGTCATCTCACAGTACAACGACCGGAGCACAGCCCATGAAATTAAACAGTAGGAATTAATGACCAACCTTTAGAAGAAAAAGGTGGTCGTTTATCTGTCACACACTCGAGCCATAGTTTTGCTGCTTGAAGGACAAATTTGACATGGTTGCTCGATCCTCAGAACGGAGGGGCTGTTGCATTACCTTTGGTCTCACTGCTAGCTCATAAACCTAAGACCACCCATTTATTTTACAGCCCTGGGTCTCAATCCATTTTTAGCAAAAATCACTGCCTCGTACGGAATGAGTCACATACACAAAGACCCTGATGATATTCATCTAACTATTCAACAAAGTGTGAGATTGAGCTCCCTCCAAGCTGCTAAACTGACTCACCCCGATGCGCAGACTTATCACAGCCGGTCCAATGTCAGTACTAGCCTCAGTTGTACAAAATCAGGGCTTGCCATTGCCTGTCACTGAGCCAGCTGAAGCTCTCAGAAGTGTGGAGCTACATTTCAAGCTAAGGCTAGCTTGACATCTGGCCAGTGGCTGGCAATGAGCGCTGCAGGAATTGAGCCTGACTGATGTGACAGCATGTGCTCTTAGCAAATCTGTGGAGGGCAGTGAGTTACAGGGTGGCTGGCATGCCAAACAGCAGAACTTCAGTCCAGAGGGAAACGGAGGGCAATGCTGACACTCTTGTTTTCCTCAGAGCCCAGGAAGGAAAGGGCTAAGCACAGGTCCCAGGGACCTGGAGCTCCTGGGCAGACCACCACGATCTCACAGCGTACACACAGATGAAGCCATAGGGCTCTGCCTGGCATCTCGTTTGTCTCAGGCTGTACTACTGAACAGTAGGGATGCGCTGCCTCTTTCTGACACTTCTACTGTAAATATCCAACGAAGGAAAAAGAAATTCCGATTTGCATACGCTGGGATCGAAGTAAATAAGCAAACATTTTGGAAAGTGAGTGCACGTACGCATAGCCACCCACGCATACATTGAAACCTCCCATCCAAGGAGAGATGAGCCTGATGTTGGTTGTTTATGTTTGTGCAGTAAGAATTCTATGGGGTGAAAAACAGAATCAACCACATCAACTCACTTCATTTCAATGTCCATTTTATTGTAATCAATTTGCTGTTTGTGAGCTTTCAGCATCTCGTTTTGGCACTAAGCACCCGTGCTTGTAAACACTAGGCAACATAAATAAAATCTTATTACAGTAGTATCTACAGAAAATGAACTTGGTGCAAAATATGATACCTGCATCTTCTCAGCTTCCCTGCATCTGTGCACAATCCAGTAATATACAAAGGCTGTCTATCCAAAGTGCTGAATCTGCTCTTCAGTATTTGTACAGAGAGAAAGGATGGGCGAAATGATGTTTGACTGGACCTTGGGAGAAACATTCACATCTCCTGAGCGACCTTGAGGAAGCCACCCAATCCATCCTTTGATCTGTTCATCACCTGCAGGATGCTACGCATCTACAATATACAACAGTGGCAATCACTCCTCTCCCACAAGAACTCCATGCAGACAAGACAACCCTAATTTTACTGAAGTGTGCAATGATAACTGGCCAAACCCATGTATCTTGTATATATCTAAGCTTTAACTAAGCCTTAAAATTCCTACTTTTTTGGATATGGACTGTGGATTCTCAACAAAGCATAGCCCCATGCCATAGGTTCCATAAAAAAAACCCTAAGAAACAGAAATTATTTCCAAAAGGATGATAACTGCCAGCTATCATTGTGCCTATGCTTGGACAAAAAGACTTCCTGCATCTGTGCAGCTGCTGTGTCACCACTTGGGAGGAGGAGTGACACAGCAGAGTGAGATTGCAGTCAGTTACACCGCTCTGAGACAACTGGAGGATCGAGTGACCCTGTTCCAGGAATGGAGTGTTAAGTACAGGTCTGCAGAACAAACACTGACAGAAAGGTGACCTCAACAATATTCGGTATTTTTAGAGACAACAAGACATTTTAGGGCCAAACACTCGGACCTTTTTAGTCTATTAGTTTCCTCAACTAATAGAGGGAACTGGAATAGTGTTTTTGAGCACTTCCCATCTCATGTCAGAGGTCTTTCTATGGCACATGTTGGGTGATTTAGTTTGAAATGTGGTGCGAGTATGTTCTGAGACAGAGAAAGGACTGTTGTGACTGTGCACCTGAGGTTGGAAGGAACAAGGGAAAGCCACACTCCCAGAGATGATACCTGAGCAGACAGGGATGTTTTGCTGTGAGCATGTGTGCCCATGATTTATTTACTGGAGAAGCAGCATGGTCGCAGGGGGCAGAGCTAGGTGGAAATAGTGAAGGGCACTGCCAAGGATGGCTTAAGGTCACAGCCTGCTGTGGGATTAATACTTCACTGTCAGTCTTCTATTGCCTTACAGCTTGAAATACGAGAGCTAAAATTTAGATCTGCTCAGGATGGACAGCTGAAAAACACACATTTCTTTGGGAAATCTGCTGAGTGAAAGCTGAAAATGAGAAAAACAAATGCCCCAAATTCTAAGGAATTGTGAGAAGTCCTGGCTCCAGTCCCTCCCAGCTGAAACCTTTCGGTGACACTTTAATTCTATTCATTCTCCCTTCCAGAATACTATTTTCTGAACCTTGAAAACCAAAGTGTTGCAATAAGTGAGGAAGGACCAGGAGGATGTTAACTCAGTTCACATCGCTAGAGGTCGGAGCAACTTCCAGGAACAGCTGGAGATGCAAAGTGACCCTCTGTAAGAAGCGGGGCTGGCACTTGAAGCGAACCAGGGGGAAGTAAAGGACAACACCGCTAAAAACGAACAGGGCTACGTAGAGAATCTCAATGTGGGGTTGGTCGATGATTGGAGCTAACACCAGGTACACGGCTGCCATCAGCACAACTATGGGGATGACAATGGGGACCTGTGAAAACAGAACGTAAAGACAGCCCTGAATCTTGTGCAGAAAGCTTTTTAGATGAACTCCTGCCACAGCCTGATGTATTATCCAGAAATCACAGTTAATCCAGGCTTCCTGTTTCCCAGATCACTCCTCCTCTAAAGCTGAACAGCCCTTCAAGAGCTACACCATGTGCCATAACCCCTGGTCTTCCCTGCGCTCCCAGACCTGAAGATGCAGACAGCTGTTTTAGTTCCAGATCTGCCCTTGCTCTCCAGACTACTCTGCATCCAAAACCTGAGCAATAGACAACACCCACATCGATGTGCCCAGATTGAATCTTAGAACCCTGGAGCCAAAAGGTTTCTTGAAGTGTTCATAGACAGGTGGACAAGGAACCTCAGAGACGATTAAATAGAATTATAGAATCGCCTGCTGCCTGAAGGAACACCATGAAACCCAAGAGGAAGCCTCAGCTCACTCATGGCATCAGGAGAAAAAGCAGATAACTCCCGATTTCTTTCCACTGAACTAATTAGTGGGGTGCAAACCTCTCTCCTGGCCATGACAGAGGACTTGGGCTGTTCTGGCCAGCTTTTTTTCTCTTAGGGAAGGCTCTCTTACCTGGGCCATCTAGTCCAACCATCAGCCCCCCACCACCAATGCCCACTAACCACGTCCCTCAGTGCCACATCGACCCTTTTCTTGAATATCTCCAGGGATGGTGGCTCCATCGCTTCCCCAGGCAGCCTGAGCCAGTGCACATTATGGGATAGAACATGCAATTAAAAAAGGAAAATCACGCCAAATCTGTAAGCAACAAACCCCAGCGCTTTCTCATTCCTCAGAAAGCTATCTTATTTGTTTGGATGGTCAAGGAAAAGGGCTAGGGGGCTCTATGTTATTACTTCACCTTGTAAGATCTTGGCAGGTCTGGTTTCTTGATTTTTAAATACAGGAGACCAGAAATAGTCATGCCATAGAAAAACCATGCTATAAAACTGGAAAAAAAAACAACATTAAATTTGGGGTGAGATCAGTCAACAACGTCAGTGCTGCTTTGCATGTCCCAAGTACACATATCTTCAATTAAAAAGGATAATATTGATATAAATTTAGTCATTCTTGCATTCGTTTCTTTTCCAGCACAAATAATGAAAACCTCAGAATGGTCTGAATATGACAGATTCATTTCGATATGAGGATGAATCACAGCCAGTTAAGTATTCATTCAAAAGCGTTCACGCGTTGCAGAGATCCTGGTTTAAAAGATCCTTCTTCTCTCCTCCTCCCTCGTCAGCATCGGTCAAGAAGCAATAAGTCATGTTCAAATAAGTATTAAAAGAAAATACTTTTGCAGAACGTCATCACCCAGCACTGCAGGGGGTGCAAAGAGAAAGGCCGTGCTCACCTGAAATAGGTCACAATGCTGGTGAAGTTTCCTGAGATTATCATTATTAAAGACATTGCAGAGGTGAACAGCAGCGCAGGAGAAGGCGTGAGGCATCGCACGTGGGCCATGGACAAGATGTCAGGCTGCAAGCCAAAGCAGAACACTCGTTGTCATGTCGTTGTCATGTTGTGGATGTGGGGATTGTTGCTCATCCCCGCAGCCGCTGGGGGCAGTTCTGCCTGCAGCCACATCCACTCCGGCTCATCAAATAAGCACCATGATCTAAAAGCTGTTCAGCTGTGAGGAATGTAAACATGAACCCTCCCAGCAAGGACATTCTGAGTCTCTCTGATTTCACAACAGATTTGCTGGGTTTAGGCAGACAAGATGAGGTCTTCAAGCTACCAATGTGACAGATGAAGGCTGAGTCAAATCAGAGCTTTCCTGACCATCACCAGAAAAGCAGCCTGGCCTTCTCACAGTCCCACTCTCCTGCCCTCTGTCACATTGCTCTGAGACCTTTCCTGGTCCAACTGGAAAACGGGATGACCATTTCCAACTTGCAACCAATGCAAGGGAAGATTGGTTCCAGAACATGGAGAGAATGGTAGGCTTCTTTACTTCTCAGTTCATTGGGAATGCTTAATAGAAAGTCTGCTGATTTTTTCCAATTTTTATTCTTATTTTACTTTTACTGTCATGCAAGATGTTCTGCTAGGCTCAGTCTGAGAAAAAGACTGAGCAAGAGGTCAGCTCTTAAGTCCAATATGGTGAAACTCAGACTGTGAACTGCTCAGCACAGAGCTTGCCACAATAACAGATGCTGTCATAGAATCACAGAATACTTAAGGTTGGGAAAAACTACTAAGATCATCCAGTCCAACTGCCCACCCAGCACCAGTATGACCCACAAAACCATGTCCCTAAACACTGCTATCTGTTTCTTGAACACCTCCAGGGACAGAGACTCCTCCACCTCCCTGAGCAGCCTGTGCCAATGCATCACCACTCCTTCTGAGAATGTTCCCTAATACCCAACCTGAACCTCTCCTGGCACATTTTGAGGCCATTCCATCTTGACCTATAGCTGTTACCTGGGAGGAGAGACCGAACCCCACCTCACCACAGCCTCCTTTCAGGGAGTTATGGAGAGCCATAAGGTCTTCCCTGAGCCTTCTCTCCTGACTGAACAATTCCAGAGAGCGTCACCACTAAAGGAAGACACCAATTCAGTCACCTCCACCAACCTTGTCATTTATGTACGTGGAATATTCCCTGCAGTGCCAAAGGAGCGGAGCTGATGCAGAGTGCTATACTTTCCCCCTGAGTAGAAATGCTGGATGGTGTGGGGAGAGAGAAGCAAAGCAGCAGCAAGCTTCATGAGGAACACAACACATCTCAAAGCAGAGGAGGTTGAATGCAGTGCAGCTCAAGTGCCAAAAGTGGAGCCAACTTCCAGATGTAGCAGAAGCATCCAGACGTGTGTATATGTGCACCTCATATGTTGTATACATATGTTTGTGTATGTGTGCACCTACTGGGAACATAGCTCAACCTCACTTTCAGCTGGACCTGGGCCATGGGGCTGTGGCAGCCTGGCCACTGTTAGGCCAATGGATTCAGGCCTGCCTAACAAGACTATTTAAAAAACAAATCTAGGGAAGTTCCGAACATCAGTGTCACCTTGCAATTGCTGTGAAGAATATAAAGTTGCCCAAAGCAAACCAGATGTCCTTTTTGATTTCTTACCATATGACCTTCCCTTGCAGCGATGTAGCACACGCGGCCTCCACTAAAGAACGTGCCATTGGATGAGCCAAACGTAGACAGTGCCACTGACAGGGAGATGATCCATGCCCAGTTACCCAGGACTTTGTTCCTGAGGTGAGAAAGAATTTATGGCACAACATCCAGCTCGCGAGTGTACCGAATATTCATCCTAGAACCCAACAGCTCACTTTACTCCATTATTCTCATTGAACGTTTTTTTCCAAGCTTTTCTACTGATTGAAAGCCTTCTCCTCACTCCCATAATATTTAGTTGCTAGGAACTTTGTCTTGCCCAGAACAAGCTTTTCTTCCTGCCTGGTGTATTTCCACCTAAATCTGTCCACACCGTAATGGTGGACACACAAAACTCACTGTTTTATGCGCATTTATGTTGCATGACTCCAGCAGATACTGCATTTACAGCCAACAGTATAAGAATGGAAAATGCAGAAAGGCTGTTATCACCATTAGAATTGTGTGGCATGAAGCCATACGTACGCTTTTTCAGTATCACTTATCCCAAATATTCGAAAATCAACAGCTGGGCTTCCCAAAATTATGGCAGTTGCTCCCGTGCCACAATAACTTCACAGTTTACAAGTTTATAGTTCATAGTTTACACATATAGTTTACAAGTTTACTGTCCAGGTTACAGGCCTTCTGGATTTGGGTTATTAAGCCATTTGCCACAGTCAGAGCTGAACATTTCCTTGTCTCAAAATGATGGAATCTGAGCACCTCTTACGATCGCAGGACTCCATCGCCTCAAGTCAGCAGTGTTTCTCCCTAGCAATCTTCTTTGTCTGAACAGGTTACAAAGCCTCACTGAACTGCCTCATGAGCCTTCTCTGCACTTCCTTTCTCACCACTCCCAATTAACACCTAATTTGTGAGCCCCCTCCTTTTTGACGCATCTTCTTTCCCTTCCTGATTCATCTTTTCACCCCAAAAGTGAGCTCAGGAGATTCAACAAATCCAAGTGCAAAGTCCTGCACCCAGGTCGAGGCAACCTCCACTACCAATACAAACTGGGGTATTAAAGGATTGAGAGCAGCCCTGCTGAAAAAGACCTGGGGGTACTGGTGGATAGGAAGCTGGACATGAGCCCTCACAGCACAGAAAGCCAACTGTATCCTGGGCTGCATCCAAAGAAGCGTGGCCAACAGATCCTACCCCTCTACTCTGCACTGGTGAGGTCTCTCCTGAAGTACTGCATCCAGATGTGGAGTCCTCAGTATACAAAAGACATAGACCTGCTGGAGCGCATCCAGAGGAGGGCCACAGTGATCCGAGGGATGGATCATCTCTCCTATGAGAACAGGCTGAGAGTTAGGGCTGTTCAACCTGGAGAAGTTTCTGAGGACACCTGATAGCAGTCTTTCATTATCTAAAGGGCAGCTACAAGGAAGAAGGGGACAGACTCTTTAGCAGGGTCTGAGGTCACAGGACTAAGGAAAATGGTTTCAAGCTTAAAGAAGGTAGATTTATGTTGTATATAAGGAAAAATCTTTTACAGTGAGGGTGATGAGGCACTGGAACAGATTGCCCAGAGATGTGGTTGATGCCCCATCCTTGGAGATGTTCAGGATCAGACTGGACCAGTCTCTGAGCAACCTGTTCTAGCTGTGAATGTCCCTGTCAATTGCAGGGGAGTTGGACTAGATGGCCTTTAAAGGCTCCTTCCAACTCTAAGGATTCTGTGATGCTTATGGAGGAATAAATGCACTTAAGTGCGATGTGTCCTCCTCTGGCTTCTTTATGCCTCTCATTTCCCTCCTTAATGGCCGAAATGGCTGCACCTCCTGTCACCAACCACAGGGAGCACACCCTCCTCAGCCCACGGCCATCCACCTGTCCTCAGGGCTTCGGGGTGCTGCTGAGATTCCTGATTGCTACTTCAGTGCTTCTCCTTAGTTGTGTTTTTGGGGTGAAAAGATGAATCAGGAAGGAAAAGGAGATATGTCAAAAAGGAGGGAGCTCACAGATTAGTTGTTAATTGGGAGTGGTAAGAAAGGAAGTGCAGAGAAAGTTCATAAGGCTGCAGTTTAGTGAGGCTTTGTAACCTCTTCAAACAAAGCACCAGACCTTTAAAAGTCTTTGTAATTACATGAAATGCTGTTAGAGAACATACCTAGCAAGAGCTCGTTTAGATAAGCTGAAGGTGTTGTGAAATGCACACAGTGGCAAAGCTGCTGCTGACTTTTTAGGGAGAGAATGAGCAGCAACATAATCTCTGGATATAATGTGTCATGGTTTCTGCCAGCCAACTCACTGGGGAGATCATGGATTCTGTGTCTTAGAAATACTTAGGCTGAAGTTGGGTGTTCTGGTGGAAGAGCACCTGGTTCAAAGCCATCGCTGCCTATATTTCTCACGAAGGTCCTTTCCTTCCTATCCTAAAATCCTCGGTGTTCAATACCACCAAACTGATTCTGTGGAACAGCTCAGGCTGATGGAAGGTGCAAATAGTTTGTAAGCAGATGGGGAAACTGAACCAACGCACTTTTGTCTCACCCCCAAATCACCGCCACTGCATTTGTGGGGCAGCATGCTGTCCTCTCCACTTCTCTGCAAAACATAGGATATATGTATGGATATATATCTGGATATGTGTCTGTGCTGGGCTTACATGAGAACAGCACCTAAATCTCCCAATATTCTGGGGAGAACCTGTGTTTTGCTAGACCACATGGGCTGTGTTACCACAGGCAGAGCTCACCCCCAGGTGACGGCCACAGCTCCTGAAGTCAGCAGCTCAGATGGAGCCATGGCCGCAAAGTAGCTGATGTTTACCAGCAAATACAGGCATGTAACCAAAGGAATAGCAATCATCACAGCTCTGGGAAGGGTCACCTGGGAAAGGGATGACAAGAGTGTTAGATGCAGCATGTTTACGCTGTGGTTTTGTCTTTGCTACTGCCCACATTGAACTGAAACACATTTGCTCACAATACTTTTCCCAGACTTACACCCAGATTCACAAGGAAGTTTTTACACCAATCTCCCGTACTATTAGGCTGTACATTTCAAAAGCTGTTCCTCAAAATAAAACAAATCATATTCAAAACATTTTGCTTCAGAGATGCCCAAGAAGTCTGTTGCACACTTGCTGATTATTTTCATATTGGTTTATTTGCTGCGTATGGCTCCTGATGTGCTGCATCTCTGCACGAACATCCGATGGAAATGGGTGAAAACCCAGTGTGTGCTGCATCCTGTGTAACAGCACAAGGGAAATCTGCTCCAGGAAGGAATTATTTTGTTCTTAACGACAGAATACCACCTGTGTGCCCACAGACTACTTTAAGCTGCATCAAAATCAGTAACTACTGCTTCGTGCAATTGAAAGAACGAGAAAAGAGCACCTAGTAGTCATCTCAGAGCCATTTTCTATTTAAAAAACATGAGATATCCATTTCTGTATTCCCCACTCTTACTGCAGGACAAGATAAGGCAATTCCTTATGTTGTTACCTCCACCCTGTCCAGGTCTGAAAATCAGTACACACAGTCCTGTGGGAGAGAGTGCCACGTGATTCTAGGATCTTTGCTTCCATTTAGATTAATATTCAACTATGCATTTCCATTTAAACTGTAAAATCTTGCACACTGCACTGGCAGAAAGTGCAAGGTATCCATGCTGTGCTCACACAGCTTGACGGTGCTGTGGTGTCCCATCTGTGATCTGTACGGCACAGGGAGGGCTGATGTGAGATGCAAGTGAGCTACTTCAGTGCCTACAGCATGGACCAAACAATGCCTAGAAAATAGATGATGGTAAGACAAGGGTTGTTCAGAGGCTTAGATTCCCTTATCAGTGAGGCTCGGCCTGCTCTGGTTCCCCTCCATGCAGTGAGGAGGGACAAGTGTTTTTCTGAAGCACGCATTACAGATTAGATCTTTTGAGGAATATGTGGTATTGAGAAACCATTAGCAGTAGGGTGGCTGCAGCACTTTTCTGCATAAATCTGGATATCTGGTGTGAGATGCTCTGAACTCTGAGGAAACTTCAACACTCAACCACCTAGAAGCTCTTTCTCCAGCCACTGAGATCTGGTAGCGCTTTCTTCTGGGTAGGCTGCTCTTTTCCTCTGAGCCTCATTTTTGTTTGTCCTGTCACGTTTCCAGACACATCCATAGGTGTCCTGCCCCACTACAACAGCAACAACAAAACAGCAGTTTTTCCCTGATGCCCTATCCTTCAGTTACCCACAGCAGCAAATTTGCATAACCACTGGGCAAATACAACGCAGCTCACTCACCTCAGGGTTCTTCAGTTCCTCAGTTACGTAGTTCAGGTTGTTCCAGCCATCGTAGGACCAGAGCCCCTGATAAAATGCCACTCCGATCGTCCCAATACCTGCATTTGTGCCTTGAAAAGCGTTCTGAAAGCTCTGAGTCTGCCCGTTGGCAAGCAGCACCAATCCGCCCACCACAATCACCAGCAAAGCCAAGAGTTTGGCAGCTGTAAAAACATTCATAACAGACATCGCCAGCCTCACGTTGAGGCAGTTGATGATGGTTAGGACCAGGATGCAGGCAGCAGCTGTACATTTGATGACAACCTGCGGGGATGAGCATCCTTGGTAGAATGGCGCGACGGCGTATTCGGCAAAGCTCAGGCAAACAGCTGCCAACCCAGCTGGTCTCACCAGGATGACAGAAGTGTAGGCGAAAAGAAAAGCAGGAAAGGAACCAAAAATCCTCAAGATGTAAATATATTCGCCTCCAGACTCTTTGATCACGGTTCCAAGCTCAGCGTAAGACAGGGCTCCAAACGTGGCCAGCAGACCACACGCTGCCCACATGAGCAAGCTGCTGGCAGGGCTCCCCATGTGATGCAGCACCCACTCAGGGGACATAAAGATTCCCGAGCCTATCATGGTGCCTGCAATTAATGACACTCCGCTAATCAGGCCGACCTCTTGTTTCAGCCTTAATTTCTCCCTTCCTTCACTCGGATCTGCGGATGAATGAGGCGAATCTGATGTTTGCCTTCTCCTCATTGTGGACCTGTTAGGAGATGTTTCTTCAGAGGCAGTACGGAATAAGACTGAGTCATTTGAATAAGAACCACCTAAGGTCTTGAAGGTTAAGTTAATAATTATAAGAGTCACACTGTTAAGAAATGGACATGCTCTTCCCCTGTTTTGCATTCTTCCATTCCCTGTCTTCTCTTCCTAATTTATAATTGTTCAGATCCTGCCAAGTTTGATTATCTTTGACTGCCATTACAATAATGGCAATGGATTGTGCTTAGCAGTACTTGAGTCGTGCAGTACCTTACCAGATTGTGCCCCTGGTCACATCTTTGAATTACGCTTCTAATGGCACCTGAAGCAGACTTAAGATAAGAAAAATCCCCATGCAAATCTGTACTTTATTCTTTGCCTTAAAGTCAAAGATCAAGCATCTGCTTTAGTGCTGAATTATATTTTCACTCCCCACTATCAAGGGATCAAACCAGCCTGTCAACCAGCCCTGCTCAACAAGGAATATTTCCAGTTCCTTCACCAAAGACACAGAAGCGTTCTGCTAAAAACAGCCCAGGTTCTGCTTTCTTGTGGAACAGTGGGGGGAAATTCTGGCTTTTTCAAATTTTAGGAGGCACAGGAGGAGAAGAGTGAAGAGGCAACAAATGCATTTTATGGGCCCCTTATGTCAGTGTCTGTGAGGTACGCAGATTCATAGCAGACCGCAGTGTTCAGAGGATGCTGTCACTGCTCTTCATGTACACTGAAATGCACACAGTGAGGAGAAATGCAGGGGCACACGCTTTTGGCAATGCCTCTACTTCCTACTGATCTAACAAAATTCAGGATTTGGGGAGGCCTCTGCAGGGAATCAGAAGATTGTTACAATGCATGAGGGTGCATTTTGTGATCTGTGATACGTGTGAAGCACTGAGAAGGGGATGTCTGCACAGATTTCTTTCGACATAAAGTAAACTTTACCGACTGCAACTGTGAAGGAGGAGACTTACTGTCCCTGGTGGTCTCTGTCAGCCTTCTGCTGTGATGAATACCAGAAAACAGGGTTGGGACCTTCCTCAGGACTTCCTAGACACGGCAGACCTTGATTCTTTACAACAATCTGTCCTCCTGAACCATTTGAGCTAAAAAAAAAAAAGCATGAATATAAACAATTATTGTTATTTCTAATTTCTTCTCTTTCCCTGTTTTGTTTTTTATTATTTTAAATTATCTTCTTAGCTTTCCTATGGATGAGACTTGAGCTCTTAGCAAAATCCTTAGCACCCATAAGAAAAAGAAGGTAAACAAGTTGCCCAGTTTCTCGTGGTAAAGCAAATAAAGCAGAACAGATTTTAACATCAAGTTTTAGTTTCTTTAAAGATGGATAAAAAAGAGATCTCATTTAAAAGTATAAATCTTATTACCAGACAAAGGAGATCATTAGAAAAGCTTTTCCTTTTGGTAAGGTGTGCTGGGAGTCGTTCCTGACACTAACTGCCATGTCCCAGCCGTTGAGAGAGAGCAACGACCAGACTTGCAAATCCCCTCGGTTAGATTAAGGTGAAATGATGTTCAAGGTCCAAACACGGTCATCAATTTTAATGAGGGTTCCTGTAATACAATTACGAGTATCGGCACTCTTACAATTATGTCTAAGCTGTTCTGCTAACCTATCTGACACTATAGGAAATCGAAATAAGCTTTGTGTTACTTAGCAACTTGAAGAGAAGGAAAAAGAGAGAGAGACGGACAGAAGTAGAGAGCACCTTTCGGGTTGCAGCCCTGCTCCATCCAGGTAGGGTGCTCGGTCTGAAAGTGTTCATCCAGAGGTGCCACCTGAGCTGCTCCTGAGCACCTTTTGTGCCCGCTAGATGTGGGGCTTCAAGCAGCACATCCACAGGTAAAGCTGCGTTATCACTGAACAGGGAGTTTGGGCCAGAGCAAGGCCGTCCCAGCTCCCTCACCTCATCCTTGAGCAGCTCACCTATTGTCATGGTGACCGTCCTATCTTGCAAGTGTTTGAGGCATTTCCAGGCATACCACAGATAAGGTGTTTCCCACTTGTCTGCTGTACCAACTCACTAGTATTCACTAGGAAATGGATCCCAGCTTGATTCTCAAAGACAATTATAAACATTCACAGCTGATCAATGCATAACTTTCACAAAAATGAAAGGTTATTTTGTCTGTATCAAAGAAGTTTTTTTAAGTCTCCTTAGTAAAGGTGTAAGTTCTAACAATAAACACATGCTCCTTGTACTGCAAGGGTGCAAATTAATTCATTTTGAGTTAATGGTTTGTAAAGTGCTTGAAAAGTTGAAAGCAGGCATCCCAGTAATGCAGAATATTTTGGATTACTGCTACTAAGGGACAGTGCTTGTCTTGTTAACTGGTTTAACTATCTGTAGCATAATCGTTTTACAATTAGGCAACACTAGAATCCTTCAGAGGTCTAAGGATATGAGGGTTTTTTTCTGCACTATAGACTACACAGACTTCTGTGCACAATTATACATACATTATGTATACCAGTCATATTTGAAAATGTATTCACAGAACACAGCTAAATCAATACTAAAAGAAAACTTACTGTGACTGCAGGTAGTTGAGCATCTGGTCAGGTCACAGAAGTATTTCAGTAACTGTCCCATTGTAATAAAGAAGTTTCTTTTCTCAAGTGTAAATGTAAGGCTCTGTGGAGGAGCTGAGAGGATCTTCTCAAACCTTTACGGTTTTGGCTCCTAGAAATAGAACTAGATGATCTTTGAGGTCCCTGCCAACCCAAGCCATTCAATGATTCTAAGAAATAAAGAACTCCTAATCTAATACTGTAGAATCAGAATTTGTTCAAACTTGATCATGTCTTAAAAATTTCTGTAAGACCACTCAGATAGCGAGGATTAATTAACTGGTGAGTCAAAGCCTCAGTCAGTTTCTAAAGGGAGTCTATTTCTATTCCTCTGATCGTTGTCACTCAGTTCTAACTCCTACCCAAGGTAATAATAACTCTAATTAATCAGATAAGAACCTGAGGCTACTCCTGTTGAAGCTCAGATGGTCTGACTTGTCTGGATTTTTTTTCCATTGACTTCATTCTTTTTTTGACCGGTATCAGCAGCGGGGTGCAGGCAACCACAGATACTTTAGTCAAGTGGATTGGCACCATTATCAAAGCATTTGTCAAGATTGGATATGTGAAAACGTATCTCACTGCTCCACTTCAAAAACTGTGTATGAGCAGGAGTAAAAATAAAGCACTGCTTTCCCCTTCTGGGGAACAGCAAAACTTTGTTATTCAGGCTGCCATGTACAGGTCTGCAACCGAAGCAGCTCTCACTGGCCATTTGACATTGCAGTGGCTGGTTGCCATCTACTGGTCTCTAAGCAATAAAGCAGCTTTGTCCAGTGAATTCTGGCTTGCTCTACTTCAGGGATTGATATCTTGCATTACTGATTAAAAAGGAAATATGCAACAAGTATTAGTTCTTGAGCATTAATGTAACATGAATTGAAAGTATGTTGAGCTCATGAATGAAAATTGCCCTTTATGTCACTAGGACTGTTTTTATCCTAGCAATAACTACAAGCACTACAGAAAAATAATTTAACATAAAAGCTGATGTCAGTTAGTAAAAAGCAGAAAAAAGGTGCACAAATAATTTGCAGTGCTTAATTTTGGGCCCCGGGAGCTGCATTTGGAACACAGTTATAGGTTCATCTTCTCTCTATGCTATACTTTGGAAAGAGTTACCATTCTCAGAACAGAAAGTAAAAACAACCTACAACCTGAGATCAGTGGCCAAAGCCTGCAGCTTTCCTCTGAGGCAGGCACTTCTTTATGCCTACTAAAAATGTACAAAGATCAAGATTTTCTATTTTTAGAAAACAAACAAACAAATCAGGTTGTTTGGGATGAGCTAACAGAGAACTCCTCCAGGATAGAGAACTCATCCAGGACTTCCGATGTGGGTTTCATCGCCTTCTCTACTTGAGAATGTGGGAAGCCATAAATCCAAGAATGCGCTCTTCTCCAAAATGTAGGCTTGGAGCTGTGTTTGCTGGCAGATCTTGGTGCAGAATCAAAGAATCATTTGAGTTAGAAGGGATCCTTAGAGACCATCTAGTCCAATTCCCCTGCAATTGAACAGGGGCACCTACAGCTCCATCAGGTGCTCAGAGCCCCATCCAGCCTGCCCTTGAGTTTCTCCAGGACAGGGCATCTGCCACCTCTGGGCAACCTGTGCCAGTGCCTCAGCACCACCTGTACTTGTGATGTAAGCAGAGGTATCTGTTGAAAGGAGGGAGGCAACAAACGCTAGGAAACTGGAGCTCTGAAATAGGTTTTGAGCCCATAAGAAAAAATGGGGCAGAGAGAAAACATGTCACATGTGCGCTATGTGAAAATAGAAGGAAAAGTTGACTCACTCAGAGGTGTTTGCCTGGGCAGGGGGTGCCCTGTGGTGCTGGGCTCCAGGCATTCGCCTTCCACGAGCCCAGCCAGCACCACTGCTGGCTTCCAGCTACCAGAGCTGACCTGCACTCAGCCAGGGGCCGACTGGTGAGCTCCAGGCTGCTGCTGTCGCTTGGTAAGACCCCAGCACATTCTGGTTCTGCAGCTGCTGAACTGAAATACTGGGTTTTGTTTTGCATGATGAAGTGTCGCACGTTGTGCCAATCAGATACTGGGCATTTTGTTTTGTTGTCTTATTGTGTTCAGGAGGAAGCTGTTAGCGTTGTACTGTATGTTCTGTGCTGCCCTATGGAGCTGTATGTTGGGCAGTAACAGTCCAACCCCTCCATGCTGCATGGAAGGACACTTCAGTAAAAGAACTCATATAGAAAATAGTAATGGAGCAACACAAAACAAGGCTCATACATGAAAAGGAAATAATAACCACTTGCATCAGTACTGGTCCCGCTGCTGCATGCAAAGGTCAGGACTTGTTACTTAAAGTTTATTTTATAAATATCAAATAAAAATAGACAATTTAATTAAGAAGGTTTATAATAAAATTAGAAAGGAGAATTCTGCTTCTAATACGATTAGAGTAGCATTCTGAAGTTAAACAGGCAAATAAAGAATATGTTTTTGCCAATAGATGCTGCCTACATTGGAAAGCAGTACAACCACAGAAGATCCCAAGAGATGCACAGACGCAGCAGGAGAGGACGTGTGTAAGTGTTCATTCCCCAACCTGGGGGAATATAACTTCAACAAAACAAACAGAAAAAAAACAGCAGCTCTAGACTGATGCTGCCTCCAAGGTTCCCCACTTTGGCACTACAGACAGTTACTGTACCAATACTGTGCTGTTGCTGTATTTTCTTTCACCTGTTCACATCCACATTTCCCGCTTTTATCTACCTATGCACATGTAGACACCGAGTATTCCAAACCCGTCCTGTTCTCTTTTTCACACCTTAGAACACCTTTACATTTGCCTTTATAATCTCTTTGCATCTCTTTGTACTCTGAAGAATTCCTTTTAAATCTTGAAACTCTTTTTTTATTATTATTACTTATTAGCTTTAACTGAAGATTAACTTCTCCTACATGAAGTCTGTTTTGAAGAATCACCTCGTCCAGCCATCCACCTACCAGCACTGCCCACTGCCCACGTCCCTCAGTGCCATATCCACATTTCCAGAACACCTCCAGGGACAGTGACTCCACCAGCTCTATGGGCAAAAATGCATTCCTACATTTATGAACAGATTGCCCTTTCCCTAATACTAAATGGTTTGTTATTTCCAAAACAAACTTTCACAACGCTCGCTTGTAGTTTAATCTATAACTTCATATTCACTGTGTTAGGTACCATTCTGTAATAAAACAGTGTCATCTCTACAGTTCTTATTAAAAATATCATAATGTTGCTGGTCCAAATCATGCCAGCTTCTCTTAGCTCCAAAGGCAACATAGTGACCATGTGTATATAACCCAAAGTCTTAAAGACTTTCCCAAAACCTACCCTGTATCACAAGAGACATTCCAGGTCATACTGGCTGTTAGAAAATAGAACAGAGGACTGGTTGAAGTGCAGCCTGTTAAATGAATTACAGCCCTGTGCTTTACAACCATATAAAGACCATTCCTGCACTCAGTGCAACCCCTGCACTTTGTGCCTGCTCCTCCTGGTCAGCTGCAGCCAGGGGAGGCATCTTCCTCCCAACAGCCCAAGTGCCTGAAGAGCTGCTTGCCCATCTGGAAGGACACTCCAAGAAACGCAGCCAGGAAGAAAAGTAGGGTAACGTGGCTTGCAGCAGCTCGTGGAGGCAGCAGCTGTGGGCTGCCTCCCTGCCTGTTTACTTTCTTTTGGTCATGCTGTAAGAGCAGGGTGGGGCTGGGTAGGCTTATCCCTACATCACACTTTCTGCCATCAACATGTGGGGCAGGTCCAT